GAAAAGTAGAACAAAAGTCTTTGTTCCCACCCTGAACAGCCATTTCAGGAACTATCAGCACATCCACCTGTTTCACTGAACAGCAAGTAGACACCGCAATGCAGAGGAAGGGGGAGGAGGAGGAAGATCAGAAGGAGGCTAACTAGACACAAAACCCAGTCCACCAATCCATCCACCAGTAGGGGTTCTCAGCTCATCTAGTCTTTTTAAAGCACCAGATTAATTTGTGTTGGAGGCAATTACTGTGGGTGCATTTACTTTGAGACTCACGCAGAGAGAGTTTGGTGGAGAAGATGTGGAGCCTCGCTGGCAGGGTGGCAGTGTGTTTGATGGACAGCACTTAAAGTAGAGAAGTCCTGCTGCTACCTGTGTTCAACAATCTCCCAGTAGCTTAACAACAAGGAGAAACTTGTTGTTAATCACATTCTGTGCAACTTTAGCTCAAAGCTGTCCGTCAAAGAGGCTGCTTTCCTGTATGTGAGGCAGGGGCGGACTGGGACTAAAAGTCAGCCCGGGAAACTCGACCGACCGACCGGCCCAACTCGGTAACGTTCGGGATCATTAAGTTACGTTAACATTTCAAAATCCAGTGTGTGTTCTATGCCCTGATGAGGACCCTGTGAACCGGTGGGCGTTTCAACCGATATGCCTGACTAAATAAAGGCTTTTAATATAACTTCTCTCCTTGTTCTGCCCAAGAGTGCGTGAAGAACATTTACTTTTGTAATGCCCATTTTTTATTTTTTTTTCCATCATACTTTATGAAACAGACTGAGCAACAGGCCTCCTCATTCATCTACTTCATTGTTATCGTATTTGAATTCTAACTATTGTTGTTGAACTCATTTTGTTTCGCACTGGCTGGCTTAATTATTGTTCCTACGATTATCCTTCACCACTGGAAGAGTCCGAATCTACCAAAAGGTACTAACCAGGTTAAGCTGATGACAGATAATGCTTAATTTGAGTTGATTAAAATGATAAATTATGAAAGAAAATAACCACTTGACCAGGTCTATGATAATTTTTTGGATTACATAAAAGGATAGAAACAGGTAACTATAACATGTAAGAGGAGATATGGTTATTTTGTCAAGCATCCTTCATAGTTAAGGATACAAAGGACACAACAAGTGACATACAAAAACATAAATTGCGCATCAGTGGCAACTGAGTCTGCGGATGCAAAACAATACTGAACTAAAATGTTTAAAATCCCTTTGAGACAGTGAAAATGGAACAGCTTGGGTCATAAAAATGGAGTAGAGCTGGCTGGAGACAAACGATACAATAGTCGGCATTTGACTCTAAAACAAGCCAAAAGTGCCGTGTTTCATCACTGTCAGTCTCCCATTATTCTGGGAGGACTGCAGCTCGCAGTGGGTTGAGCTGTGCAGTGCTCGCTCCTCCGCATCTCTTCTCTTCCTCCCTGACAATTTCCCACCAACTCTTGTCACCATGCAGCTGCTTCCAATTCAGCACCAGAGAACTGAGCCAGCAGGAACATTACGGCAACGTATTACAGCCTGCATTACATCTGTAAGGGAGGAATTAAAACCTCCATCGCATCTGGCCTGGCTGGGAGGAGATGGGCTCTGGCATATATGTGTGTGTGTGTGTGTGTGTGTGTGTGTGTGTGGTGTGTGTGTGTGTGTGTGTGTGTGTGTGTGTGTGTGTGTGTGTGTGTGTGTGTGTGTGTGTGTGTGTGTGTGTGTGGAAAAGTTGGTGTCTCAGGTTGCAGTGGGCCAACAGCCCAGGCTGAATGACTGCTGGTGATCAACACTGATTGGGCTACAGAGCAGCAGCTGTGCAGAGTTTCAGCTGATTCACCAGGAGGAGGAGGAGGAGGAGGAGGAGGAGGAGGAGGAGGCTGCTTTACAACACTGCCATCTAGTGCTGAAGGTACATCAGCAAAACAGAGGTCTGAGCATGTGCAGCACAACTAAAGGAATTAAAGATTTACATGTTTAAGTAGACTTATGGACTTAACATTCAGCAATTTGTTTAATGAGTTTTAGAGACATAGTAATTACCAGGCATCTGGGGGTCGAATGAACGGTGCTAGTGGTTGCATTATGGGTAAATGTTGCATATGGGTAGTGTTTTTGGAGCTTAATCCACACTGGTGACTAAAACTGTATCTCAGCTTCTACTATACTACCAACTGTTTGTGTCTTTATCATGCAAAAAACTGAGGACAATCTGCATCTGAGGACTGTTCATGTTTTATGGAAAAAGTGTATTTGTGTATTCGTCACCCTTGGCATGGAATATGTTGCTGACTTGAAAATAATGGATTGTTAAATGCTTTTAAATCCAAAAGTAACCCATACCTGGTTATTGAAACATAGTTTTGTTTTTTATTGTTTGTGTTATTTTAAAGAGGACCTATTATGATTGTTGGGGTTTCCCTTTCCTGTAGTGTGTTATAAAGGTTTGTGTGCATGCAAATGGTCTGCACACGCTAAAATCCCAAGGTTTCTCTCCCACACACTCCCCCCTTGCCTGAAACGCCTCCATTAAACTACTTTGTTTACTTCTGTAACATAGTGACATCACTATGTAACACTCGTGCTCCCATTGGCTAGCGCTCCAAGACATTGTACGTGATAGGCTAAGGAGCCTAGAAGACATCTCTTTGCGGTTGACTAATCACAACAGGAGTTGGCCAGCTAACCAATCAGAGCAGACTGAGCTCTAGTTTCAGACAAAGGATGAAAAGAGGTGCTGCAGCACAGGTAGTGTGAGAAAAATAAGGACATTTTAAAACATTAACCTTTATTGTTATTATAACATGTTTTACCTCAGCAACATCTTGCCGGTCCTGCAGCAGGAGGATCCTCTGCTGAGCGGCCTTCTCATACTCTGTCACCAGACGCTCCAGCTCTTTCTGCCGCTCCTCGGTGTCACACAGGATCTCGTCCTGCAGGGAGACGCAGAGACGACAGTGATGGATGTTGACATGGTTATAGATCAACCCCGCCTGTCACTGTACAAACTGAAGTCAAATTGATGGGATGCGATGGGACGTGCAAAAACATTATAGGAATGTCATACAGAGAAACATGCACAGACACACCCAGCAGCAGCAGCAGTACGTTACCCTCTCCATGCGCAGCCTCTCCACCACAGCATCCAGACTGAAGTGAGGCAGGACCACAGAGGAGGAGCTGCTGGAGGCCTGCCGCCTGCTCAGCTGCTCCTCCAGATCAACTATCTGACATTCAAGAGACTCGTTCTCCTCCTCAAAACAATGAGCCTACAGGGCATAGAGACAGATTATTAAGGTATTATAGGTATACACTGTACAGTATATATAAATCATGTAAGTAAGTGCATTACTCCAGGACTGTACTTAAGTACAAACGTGGGGTACTTGTTACAAAATGAACACAACCTTAATGGGCACCATAATGCTTTTAGGGAGTTTTCTATTTCCTGTAGTGTGTGTTATGTAGGTTTTTGTGCATTTAAATAGTCTTCAAAGGTTAAAATCCCAAGATTGAGGTCAGAGGGAGGCAAATATGAACCTGAAAATTAGCATAATAGGGCCCCTTTAAACATGTACAGCAGAAAAAACAGTATAGTGTATATTAATGCAGTAGTTCACTTTCTATTAACCTATATATTTTACTTCGGGATTTGAACGACGACTTGAACTTGTTGTGAAGCATTTTTACAGTGTAGTATTAGTACTTTTGCTGAAGTAAAGGATTACAAATATTTATTACACTGGTATATTCTTTATGTAAAGAGTTAGATTCACTTCTTCATTTAGCAAGGGGCAGAAGAAAGATAAAGTGCTGATGTGTCTCGAGCAGTTTGTCCTCACCAGCTCAATAACCCGGACCAGGCGGTCGTTCAGTGAACCGATGACGTTTCTGTCCTGGACAAACCGGCTCAGACCCTCTTTGTTGAGCGCCTTCGCAGCTACAAAGTCTAAGTTGTCACAGTCACACTCATCAATGGAGGCCCCCCTGAGAGGAGGACACAAAGTACCAAAGACTGGAAATGAAGGATCCTGGGGGGTCATTTGTCCACCTTCAGGGATAGTTAATGACTTACACAGTAAGTGTTTGACCACGGTGCAGCCTCATTCTGTTAATGCTTCTGTGCTTTCAGCCCTGCTGTCACGGTAAATGAACATGGACTGTGATGTAATTATTTCCATGAGCACAAAAGGAATTTGTACAGTATAGGAGGGAAGTGAGAAGAAGTAATGTTGAATTACTTTCAGAACATCCGTAATAATTTTCTCCTGTATCTTTTTGTAGATTGTAATAATAAAAAGAAAAAAACATTCAACTTTTAAGCAAAAAAAGAAATACATAATATCTATACAAAGATGAAAAAGCTGTAAAAGAAAAAAGATTCCCCACCCATTACACAGGTGAGATGTTTTTCAAACTTAGAAAACGGATCACCAGAATGTTTTACCCCCATACATGTTTCATCAACATTCAGGAGAACATGCAGAACCCCTCTCAGATACGTTACCCCAAAGTGATTTTCTGATATAAAAAAAAAAAAACTTCTTATGTGACATATTCTCAGCAGAAAAACTGTCACTAATTTATCAATATCTTTTAAATTGGTAAAGTGCAGTACAAATACTGAAGCTGCCCTCCACCCAGAGCCCCTCACTGACCTGACAGAGGCCCGGTACCCCCCCGCACACTGCGCACTCGACCCTCTATTCCGACTCCAGCTTTCATCGTCGAACAGCTTTCGGTAGGAAGACACTCGCAGCATGGCCATGGCTCTGTGAGGTTAAAACTGGACTAAACACAAACAGGGAAAAAGTGGCAGCAGGTCCAGGGCGTCTTATACCGCAGGGACGGAGAATGTAGCGTCGAGGTGAAGATCTCTCACCGTGCACTGAGCGGACTAAATATACCACGAACATCAGCCTGTAACGATTTCACATGTACCTGAAGAGTGAGCTCCTGAAAAACCTTGTTCATCATCTGAATAACAAGCTGTCAATAATAAGGCAGGGGTAAATGGAAAACAAAAACAGCTTTATTTCTGTTAAATAAATTAAAGCACCAAAACTCTGAAAAGTTGAAAACAGGTGCGAGTGTTTCCTCATGTACCTTTTAAATGTACCTTAATTTTATGAACAGATTGTGACAAAAACTGAAGACAAAAAGCACGATGCAGTACATCATTTTGAACAGTAGCACAAAACAAGGAAATCAGAGGTTATCGATTATATTGATTTGAAATGAGGATAGTTCTTCTAAAACCAAGTGAATAAATACATACAAAATGACTCCCAAATCTGAACCACTGGGAATTATTCGTACAGGCCGAGCCTCTTAGTGAAAAAGCTCAGCTATGTTTACATCATCAGAGGGAAATGGTGTATTGATGGCAATAAGGCAGAAAAAAACTACGCAAGAGATGAGTAACGTCAGCCGGACTATACATGACATGATTGTCAGTGTTGTCACTTTGTCACCAAACAATACATCTTCTGAACCTCCTGGAGCATCGGAGAAGAAAACCTCTGGGCTTTTTTCTGACATGTATACACTACAGGAGATACAGGGAAATGTCATACATGTAAATATTTTTGTCGACTAGGAGAATTAACGCTGACATCTCTTGGGTAAAACTATGAAAGAGGAAATGGCTATTACACAGAGCATAACAGTTCCTTATTTCAGTAACCAGGAAATGTCTTTCAACAGTGAATACAGAAGAAAATGACCTTAGTGGCACACATGAAACAGTTTGTATCCTGTAGAATAATGGGTCATTATATCTTGCACCGTGAAAGTGCTGCATCACCTAAAACAAAAGTATTACACATCTGGTTTCACTATGGGGAACAACAGCTGTATCTTGGCATCACATAGGCCTAAAATAACAAAAATGTGCTTTAAGATGAGGCAGAAGTTTGGAAAAAGACACATAAACAAACACAGACAATAACAGTACCACCTTCATGACAAACTGTAGGACACATTTACAGATTTGCATCACGATACGGACAGTCAAACACCCATGAGACATGGAAACAATCAGTATTACACAGTTTAAGACACAGAGAATCACAGAGGGTGACTCTTTGTTTGATTCCGGTTGACCAGGAAGTTAGAGTGTTAACAGAGTGTCTTTGTAACTCAAGAGGAACTGGCAAAACTAGATGTAGGGCTCAGGCTTTGAGTTACAAAACAACATCAAACGTCCACGACACAGTTATCTATGACATGATGATAATAAAATAAAAAAAGCGATGCATTTTTTTAAAGAATGCAGAGCTTGAAAATAAACCACAGAAACCATAAAGTGTTGCAAACATGGAAAAAAATATATAAATAACAGTTAAAATACAAGGATTATCTCGAAGATATCTATAATGTTGTCCCCTCAGTTAAAATGATGATTGTCATGACTTATCTAAAGCTTTAACATTCTTAGCGATACATTTTTCTATAATTATCCCATTTCAAACTATTTAGAATTGTATTCAGTCTACTTCTTAACACTTCAGGAATTTACTTTTAGTGTAATTTAGTATTTTGCTTAGCATCTCTGGATAGGTAGTATTTTCACATTCACACCACTCACTGTTCAGGGGTTGTTTTGGCATGGTAAGAAGTCTCAGTTAAGGACAGCTCTAGTGTGGAGGTGTTCAGAAAGTGCAGAGGCAACAGTTCAAACCTCGCACAAGTACTAACGAATCCACTGAGCTGTCACACTGTGAACAAACTGAAGATAGGACACTTGGTCTCGAGTTCCTTTGACATGAGAGTTTGTGAAACGGGTGCAAAACCTCTGCACTGGTCTCCAATAGATGATAATGTAGCACGTGGATCACGTTACACAGCGTCCAGCAGGTCCATAGCCAACAGCAGGTCACACACCTGACTGTTGTTGTGAGGTACCTTTGTCCTCGGTTACTCCTCGTCTGCAGCCATGAGGAACCCCAGGATGAAGTCGATGGTTTTCTGCCGCTCGTTTGGCGTCTGCCTGCCCATCAGGTTGGGAGGGGGTCGGATGAGGAGGCTGGCAAAGAGTGTAGCTAAAATACAAGAGGACGAAGACACAACTTATTTGACTTTAAAGCCAGAAATATTGAAAAATTTTAACTGATCTGTACAACCAGCACTTAGCCTTTAACCTTGTGGTAAAGTTATTTAGCAGAAAGAATGCCATGAATGTAATGTGCACACAATACCTTTAAAAGCAGCCAGACTCTTAATTAAATGTTTAAAAAGGAAGCATATAACGCCTTTTTGCACTGGTTTCCTGTTAAGTATTTCATTTCCTACATAATTCTTCTGCTTGCACTTAAAACCCTGAATGGTCTGGCCTTGAGCTGTATTACAGAACTCTATTCTCATAAAGTACTGCAGATCAAAGCTGATAACAATCCCATGGTCTCTTTGAGAACTTTTAGAGACAGGCAGTAGCTGCACCAACTCAGAGAAATAATCTCCCTGAAAATATAAGAATGTTGAGGAGGTTTCATACCTATGAGGCTGGCAGTCAGGTTGTTGTTGTGTGAGTGTTTGAGGAGTTCCTTCAGGAAGGCCATTAAGTATCGGAACACGTTGCGGTGAGCGCGGGGCAACTGGGAGATCAACTGTCAAATGTCAAAAAAAGATTAGTCGAACACATTACTGAAAAATCCTGTGTTAATGCAAAGCTAAAACATTTCCTAAACACTGCACCTGTTTGCAGAGGCGGCTGTCATGAGAGCAGTCGAGGCACCGCTGGTAGAGTTCGTAACAAACCACCGGCTCCGGCAAGGCCTCCAAGAAGATCAGCAGAGCCTCGGCTACAGAGTGGTTACAGCCGGCTACTTCAACAGTCAGGGAACAACAAGCTCCTTTTTATGGTAATGCTAATAATGCTAGCCCATCCTCGTCCATGAGTTACACGTTTAATATGCATCTTTTCCGTATTCAAATGTTTAAACGCCACTAGACCGATGTTATTCTCGAGTTGTGTTCTGACATTATATCAAATGATTCCAAATGTGTTCTAACCTAGAGGAATTTGTCCTTTTAATCAAGTTAATCCATTTCATTTGCACGTTGTCTGACTTTTTTATAAAATGTGTTTTAAACTTTAAGCCACATTGTTACGATATACTTTTTAGATCCTGGTTGTTTTGGCTATAATACTACTATACATTTTATACGAGTGAAGGATTTTAGTCATTGGTTGCCTGGAACCTAAGTAACTGTGAAACAGCTTCAGAAAAGCACTGATAATAAACATTAATAATGTATTCGAAGCAGCGAAAAAACGCCTTAATGTAGGAATCTAACCAGAAGAAGCTGGGTGAAATAATTGTAGTCATCAGTTTTTAGTTATTGTTTTGTTTGAAAGTAGCTGCTCTTTTATCTTCTGTTTGGCATTGCAGTGTTTGCAGGGCTGGGCCCGGCTTTACAAAGAAGGATACAGATGGATTCTGGGATGCTCGTGTCCAGACAGTCGATGATGCTCTGCAGCTCCTCTTGCAGGCCTGGCGTCTGGAACAAGTCCTCCTGGGAGACACACAGGGACAAATACTGAACATTTAAAAACATGTCCTACTAGTACCTCTGTGCTGGTTTATCTTTTCATAAACCAATATACTCACAAAATAAAAACATGTTTCTCCCAATATAGTGCAGCCCAGTTTTACATTAAAAAAAAGCACAACATGGAGGTGAAAGCAATGCTTACTCCATTTAAATGTTGCATATGATGTATTTTGCTATGTTTGTCAAATGTAATCTTCTTAAATCTTTTATGTGAGGGACTGCGGATGGAAATGAGCTCAAAGCTAAATCTGGCACTGTTACGCTTGACACATTTGAATGTTTTAAGTGTTCATTAATATGTTCATAAAACTGTTTTAAAACTGATCATAATTCCATTGTTGAGGTTGACTAAAATAGATTTACATTGTTCAATGTTCGAAAATGACATTGGTTTCTCATAGAGCATCTCTGTACAGTATGTGTATTCACTCTCTGTCCTAAACGCCTAGTTGGAGCTCCTGCCCCCCACCCCCTATGACCCCACTGTGCTCTGATTGGTCAGCTCGCCCACTCTGTTCTGATGAGTCCACCACCGTTACAGCGGAACATCAGTGTTTATGTGTTACAATGGCGTTTGTTAGCAACCAGAAAATGACACCAGTAATGAAAAACAGATGAGAATGCTGCGTGGGGTCTGCGTGCCGTGTTGGCGGGACGAGCTGCTGGAGCGGACAGTGTGAGCTGGATTACTGGTGTTGTTTCCTGGCTGCTGCGTGGGGTCTGCGAGACACAGCGAAACTCAGCCTGAACTCAGCCTGAGCACACACACACGTAGCCTGGCTGTGAGTTTGTGTGTGCTCAGGCTGAGTTTCGCTGTGTCTCGCTGTCTCGGGCTGAGTTCAGGCTAAGAAATCCGCAGAGCTGCGGCTGAGAAAAGATAAGGCTGAGTGTGTGTGTGTGTGTGTGTGTGTGTGTGTGTAAATCCACAGATTACGTCACTTGATTGTGAGTGTTTATCAGTTGTAGTAAATGTTTTATCAGCTATGGCCTGCTTACCTGATCACAGGACCTGGTGAAGAGATGGTTGACAAGAATCCACACTTCCTTGGGGATCTTCAGCGGTTTGTCTTCTGTACTTGCACCTTCAGACATCAGGAAGCTAACCTTTGACCTCTCCTGATGACAGAGAACACAATTTGTTTCACACCGACACATTATATTATTTCCTGCAATATAATATAATGACTTTCTTCCATTAAATCACTTAAAGAAAACATATCGAAATGAATGACGTTATTGTATCCTCAAACTGTGTGATTCCTAGAGACTTCTCGAGTGTCTGCACATGAGACATCTGATCAATTAGTGACGGAGAAGGAGCCGCTGTGAGGTCGAGATTATCTCTGTGGCGTGGAAACTTGAATGAAGGAGAGACATTTTAAAAAGGGCAGAATATCCCATTATTTTTGTCTCTGCTAAAGCCCCTGTCACACTGTCCCGAAATTGACACCCGATGGACACACGAATATGGAATTGTGAATTTCGCACGAAGATGGCCCCGAACCACACACAAAGGCAACATTTACATTACATTTAAGACATACAACTGCAATGAAAGTACCAAAAACAATTATGTTACAGTACTATGATACTGTACTGATATCTTCAGACTTTGTTCTTTACTTTATCCGTCGTTATATGTAGAACATATTACGTTTTCTCCGTAATGTTGTTTCCATAACAACAACAACTTCCTGTCAACTGTCCTTCAAAATAATATATGATATCCTTTTTAGTTTCACAGAACACAAATTGGGTTATTTACATAATACATTTACATGATTTTGTTGTGCAATAAAACAACCCGATGGACACACAATAAAGGAAATGTTCAAATTCGGCTGTGATCGTAGCAACATCGGGCCATTCGTGAGGGCATCTTAAGCCTTGGTATGACCGCCGGTGGAGTTTCTCAGGCTCCGGCAGCAACTTCGTGAGCGGTGGTAAAATCTTTGGCATGCCAAAAAATTGCCGAAGGACCTTGCGAAGGTTCATTTTTGTGTTCAATTTGTGTGTAAATTGTGCCCTTCGTAAGGCCATCGTGAGGGCATCTTGTTATCATCGGTGCCATCGGGCATTCGCCCCGATCAGAGTGAGGGCGAATGCACCGATGATAACACGAAGATGACACGATTTGACAAGATGTCCTCACGAGTGCCTTACGAAGTTGCCGCTCACGAAAGTTGCTGCCGGAGCCTGAGAAACTCCACCGGCGGTCATACGATGGCTTAGATGCCCTCACGAATGGCCCGATGTTGCTACGATCACAGCCGAATTTGAACATTTCCTTTATCTTGTGTCCATTGGGTGTCAATTTCGGGACAGTGTGACAGGGGCTTAATGGATTCCTGAGCCTCAGGAGAGACGTCTAAAAATAACCACAGACAGTGAAGCTGCACAGAAATGCAGGGGAAACTGGAGTGGGGCTTTAATGGGGGACGACACTAACATGCAGAACTAATATGATAATCTGTTAATGTTGCAACTCCAAAAGCTTCTACTGTGAATCTTCAGTGTAGTAAATCTTCCAGGGGGGGGGATTTAAGACCAAGAAAGTTTTATAATAATATATAAATTGCTACATGGTTAAGAAACGACACCCCCAAGTGGATGTTACTTTACTCAGCTGCTCAGTTTTTACACTTGTAACAAGTTGTGAAACTACTTGTCGTTTGGCTTCAGTGTTCAAGCTCAGCTGAACAGACCCTAATACTCGTCCTCATGAGCTTTAATCATGTGAATGAGGGAGCTGTGCAGCCGGGGTGACCTGCTGTGAAATGGGATTTAGTGTGTTTGCGTGTTTACATTTCATTGGGCTGGTGTACCCTGTCCTCAATGGGCCGGAGGAGATTTAATGGCTGAGTGATCCACACACACAGATTATAACCGAGCTGGCACAGTGAGGTCTGTTAGGTTAACAATTGTTGCCCTTGTTAGATTCCGGAAATGTAAAGCGAATATGAAACCGATTCAATTTTCTGATTAGCTACTGAAGACATTTTTTTAAATCAACCTGTGCACAATATTGTAGCTCAAAATAATTGCTTGTTCGTGGAATAGGAAGTATGGTTTACTTTATAAGAGTAAAATGAGTAGATGGAATAAGAGCTAGGAGATTATTTAAGCATAAAGAAACAAAACAGAAACAAACTGAAAGCTCAAAAATACACCTACTAACACATTTAAAAGCTTCATAAGTAGTTTGCAGCATTTTGTGCGATGACAAGCCTTGAAACTTAACTCCACTGGATCACATTTCAAGTGTCCCAGGGTAATTCCCTCCAATTTCTAGCTGCATACAAATCGTTCAGACAAAAAATTGGTATCCGGCTTCTAATCTTATTTTCAGAAAGACAGTGAAAGATAATATTTGCCACAACATTCAAATCTTCCACTCCTTTCTGCTTGTTGGTTGGCAGGATACCAATTTACCTTTTATGAGATGAGTGTTTGAGGAAGGTCAATAAAGTGTCATAAAAGCAGACATCTGGTTTTGATTGACCCCGATTTGCCCGATAGCTAATCGTTAATATGTTACCTTTTCCATGAAGCTGTCCTCTTCCTGAACAAGAAGTCAGCCCACAACCACAGTGAAGAGTTGGAAAGGAATGATCAAGGCAGTAAGGATGCGATGATGGGAAACAAGAGAGGAAAGAGAAAAGAAGATAGAAAAATATATGCGTAAACACAGAATCAGAAGAGTAGATTTACAATAGATTGTACTTTGATCAAAGGCACAAGGCCAGTAGGAAATCAAATAGTGCAATTAGAAATACAAAGGAGTACTGAATGATAGCATATGCCAAAGCAAAACCAGATTAAGTCAAAAATAGCATTTGGAAACAGACGGAGGTGAACTTGTGAAGATCATAGGAGTGTATTTATAAAAAGTTCTAACTTGAGTCAGTTTTCCCTGTTCTTTAGGAGCTCCCTTTATGAGATGTTGCCACTTCCTTGTTCCCTTGGCCCCTTTTAGCCAGAAATATACAGGTTGAGACATTTCATGCGCTCCAAATGTAGACTGTGTGACTTAGTTTACCCTGAGGGGGGGGGGGAACAAGCTCTCACACGTCCCCACTCTGGTTTCAGGTGGCGAAAAGCTACAGAGTGAGGACAATCTGAATGTAAATGCGGTGCGTAAAGGAAGGTTTATGTTTCACTATCTGGTCTTTAACTAGTCTGAGGAAAATATGTCTGTTCACTGTGAACAGGTCTGACTGGATCTCCTTCTCCCTCACCAGGTCGATCAGCTTGGTGATGGGGATCTCTCTGATGGGCTTCTTCATGCGGCACAGGGTCTCCAGCGAGGTGCCGAAGCAGCTGGGCAGGTAGTTCCCAGAGATGGTGATGAAGTAGTCTTTGCCCCGGTCCAGATGGAGCACCAAGATGTCCTCTATGGCGTCCTCTCCGGAGTTCAGCAGCGTGACAGAGTCTTTACTGACGTACACCTCCAGGTAGATCTCCAGGGTCTCGTCTGTTCAGGAAGATGTTTTATTGAAAGATTAAAAAACGTGTAAAGGGCATGATTCTCCACAATAACCAAAATGACTGGGTTTTGGATAGGAATGGAATATATGAAACGGCGTAACTCTGTTAGGATGCAAATAAAGGTGACTGTATTTCGTTACCGTTACATCAAAATAAGGCATAATCAGAATAACCAAGACATTGAAAAGTGAGAGCAGGATATATGCAGGAATCCTGAAGTCAAATGCAATACCTTTTTTAAGACCCTTTCCGTACATTTTAAGACCTCATCGCCACTTCGAGTTTTAACCGGTTACATTGGCGACACACTTTACTATATACAGTATTGATTGTCCTTCCTCCTTATCTTCCAACCATTTGGAAGCAAGCTTGCATTTCCCCATAACGATGTTGATTAACAACCGGCGTAAACGGACCTTCGCGCGCTATCAAGCAGTGAGCGTGCGATGTCCTGTTCAGATAACGTCAAATCTAACGGGATGCCATAAATAAACTACACAGAATCACACTACACACCTACGCAATGATTACATTCAGGCAGACTGTAGTTTACAACCTCTTTGGACAATTTATATACTTATTGAAAACAAGCTACAAAATGTAATACCTTGGAAAATGCCGTTTAATACTTTTTAAATAGCCTTAATTTTCGCTAAATTGATTTATCTACTTTTAATACTTCTTAAGACCCCGTGGACACCCTGGATAGGGATTATGAGGAGAGGAACCATTTTGAAATACACTTTAAACTAAGTGGGCTCACACAATGTTCTTATTTTATATGTAATGGGGAAAAATATCAAAGTACAAACCAGCGTAGTTTGTTCACTGTTCTTGTTACTGAGAGTCATTCAAGAGTGAGTGTGGAATTTGTATGTAGGTTAATTTAGATGAACTCATGAGTAGCTGCTGCTGCCCCACATTTCAATCGAGCAACACCAATGTGCCAAACCATCAGAGTCCTTGGATGATGACACCATGTCCCCAGCCTGAAGGCATGACTTTCACTAGCTGTCGTTCCTCTTTTCAGATTTACATAATACAAAAAAATATCATCATTTTTCTTTTTGTCTTTATTTGCACACTTTGGTATCATTACCAAAAAGTGACAGAAAGTAATCCAGTTATTCTACATTTAAAAACTGGTAAGATATTGTTTTAAAGTAGCAAAACACAAGACATAAAAGTTGTACTGGAGAATTGTGTACCTGATCATAGGGCTGTGCAATTAATCGTATTTTAATCTCGTTACGATTTTGGCTTGCAACGATTACGAAAACAACGTAATCGAAATAAAACGATTATTATTTTTTAAATTAATTTCTTTAATTAATTTTTGTATTGGTTTTTCAGTTGAATTATACTTATAGTTCAGGGTAATCAACTGTTAAAAACATACTGTTCCATTGATTTTTTTTTCAATAAATGGATGTTTTCAAAGTAAATGGATAATCGTTTTTTAATAATCGTGATATCAATTATTAACCAAAATAATCGTGATTATGATTTTTGCCATAATCGCACAGCCCTACCTGATCACAGATCTAAACTCGAGGTAATAACCCTAGAGACATCAAAAAAAAGAAAAGGGGAGTTTTCAGACTTACTGGGCTCTAAGAATCCATCGCTTGGCTCGGCACGGAGCCAAGACTTACAATACTGCGTGTCGTTGAGTTTGGGGATGAAGGCGAAGTGACAGGGGACCTGCCCGTCATTCGTTATCAGGAAGTGCTCCTTCTGAAGCTGGCGGAATTTCACATTCCCAAATGAGAACTGCAGGACAGGGAAAGAGAGAAAACATTAACCACAGGTTCCAAGCGATTGTTTTTTTGTGTCTCCAATTTTTACGGGAAGTCATAACAAGCTTCTTTGTTTTAAAGGTCATCAGTGATTAGTGCGTGAGATGATATCATGAAGGAAGGATCATAAGACAGCGTGATGAGTATGTGAGGACTTTATGTTTACCTCTCTCCTGCTCAGCGTTAAAGATGGAAGGAAATCATTCTCCATTCTGTCCATCGCGCGCACAATCTCCTCAAACACCTTTTTGTGGCGCGGCTCATTTACCACCTTGACCTGTTACACAAATAACACAGTCATATTTAGTCATATTTAAGTCATAGCAGTGCATTTTTTTAACTAAAACCAGTCTTTGTGTTGTTGTTTTGTGTCACTATAGCTTCTCACCCCCACAGTGAAGAGAGCACTGACAGGCTTGTGGTCACTAGTTTGCAGCTCCATGTGACTCCGGTATTTGAGCTGCTTGATATTGTTGCCCCTCCACAGGATTCGGTCACACCAAGCCGGGACACGGCACTTCCCACTGCAGGAAACAGTTTCAGAGGCAGAGTGAAGGGTGAGACCTCAGACACACATACAGTACTGCTGACTCTCTGTTAGTGTAACGATAAGCTGGAACAAGCTTCCTGACTGGCAAAAATTCATCCGGATTCCAAAGAACAAACTAAACAAAACAACTTGGCAAAAACAAAACCGGAGGATTGTTTTGTATATGGGGAGAAAGCAGAAGGTACTATACAGGGATCAATGTTTTCACCTTGAGTCCCATCGATCCGTTTTGGGGTCGTACTTGTACGTGGGAATGAAGTTGATCTCTCCCTCTATGAAGTCTGTGAAGGCTTTCTTTGTCTGCCTCTGAATGTTCAGCTACACAATGGAAAACGGCAACACATCAAAGTTTAATTTGGTGAAGGAGTCCAATCAAAATCAGTAGTCATTATCAAACAGACAAGTCATAGATTAAATAATGGCAGATTACAAACACAGCGAGTGTAGTTATCTTTAGCAATTTGTTTAATAACGCTATTTGCAAAACAGCTTCCCTTATTCATTTGCCAAACTTCTATTTATCATCAAATATTTACTGTTTTATTCATATTTACACATCAAAGGTCGCAACAGATACACTACAGCTACAACTTAAGAGCTAAAAAGTCTTAGGAGCAAAAAGAAAATACTGAATACATGACAAAGGACTCAAGTTATTCTAAAACTGCTGCCGAGGGAAACTGTCATTAAAGAAACAAACAGACATGGGATTTTCTTGGTACTTAATATTTATCACAAAATGTATTTCTAAAAACCTGCTGATAGTTGTCTTAATCAAAAGTAAAAGTGGTGCTTAGTTTTCAACAGACTCTTACCTGATCAACATCCTGAAGCTTTTTTAGGTCATTCTGAGCAATGTGATGTTTGACCTCAGCAGCATCGTACAAACACAGACGGTAGTTCAAATCCCCGAGCCAGATTACTACACTGAAACACAAACAGAGACAAAGGTGGCTTAACACAACAGAATCACAGCAACACGTTTGTAGTGGTAAGGATGTGAAAACTCAAATCATATCAACAAGACTGGTAGTGAGCAGCTTATGTTTGTAGAGACAGAGACAAGTCAGTGTATTAAGTAATAAACTCGGCAGTATAGAATTATTAAAAAGGTAGTTTTGTAGAATTCTGAAAAAGTAATCAAATCATTTGAAACCAATAATAAAACACAATCTTAAACTGGCGATACAAGCATAATCCTGAGTTTGCACTTTAATTCAATGATCTCCCTCTGGACATTTAGTGGCTGAGGAACTCACTCGTGTTTGACGATGCTGAGAGGGGGGGTGGTCCAGTAAGTGGAAGGTCATGCGGGCGCAGATGTCTTTATAGTCCTGGTTGCGGCGCTCAAAGTCTTCAACGTGTGCTGCTAGATGGGAGTTCACGATGCAGAAGCTAGTGTTGTGGAAAACAAACCTCACTGCCACACCTCCTTTGTTCCCCTGCAAAAAACAAACACGAACATTAAAGGATTAAACACAACATATTTTCATGCAGGAATAAGGTCTATGTAACATTGAAAAAAGAAAATCAAACTGAGGCTGCTGTATAATGTAATCATCATTACATTATTATTATAACAATAAAAATGTACTGTAAGTGCCAGACAGCACTCATTTATGGCATTTATTTGAGTAGATTAACCCATTTACTTGGTATGATAACCGTCGACTTTCATACGACGGTATATCTTGAAACTGCTGCAACATTTATGTTGTTCTTAATACTGAACACAGCCATTTTACTCCTTGACCTTTAATGGAAAACAACACTGCACATGTACTTCAAGGTTACTTATTACTATGTGTATTGTGAGGCAGTTTGTCTGAGTTTGGTGTGAACAAACCATTTTCCCCATGATTCCCGTCCCCACATGCTCTGCAGCCACTTCTTTTATGTGGTTCTTGTGCATCTTTTTGACGAAGATCACAAGCATCATCCCGACAAGTCGTATGATCCGGACCTGAAGACATTTAAAAAATAAAAAAGACATTACAGTTATATTTCTTCTTAATCTTTGTAATATTTGTCTATCATGTTTATTCACTTTTTAAGATTCTTAATATTAAAGAACTTATATTTATAGATATTTACTGTTATTTTTCATGTTCAAATAAAAAATAAACAAACATATTCATTTATCACCATCAAAGGACCACAAATGGCTGCATTTTTATGGAGCTTTTATCGAATTTGCTTTTGCAACAAGCCCTACACATTTTCACCGATTCTTCTCTTAAAAGGTTTTCCTCCCCTCCTCTACTCACCCTTTTGTATTTGAATTTTGAGGGCAAGCACCTCTCTATAGCTTCGACCCACAGCTGCTCTTTGGATGAGTCCATGTAGAAGAAAGCTTCAGTGCTCAGGTCCAACTCTTGAAAACTGCAGTCATAAACCAAGTCACCATACTGGGTGTTAGTGAAGCAAAAGCCTTAAACGATATGCGTGACTTCATGTTCAGAAAAGGTACTGTAAGTTATATTCTCACTGACCCCAGAGCATAGAGATCTGGAGGCTCTGTGTCGCTGCAGAGCCACGGCTCGAGGCTGCTGTCCGGAGCCTGGCCGTTCACGTTCCACGTTCCTGTGAAAATCCTTTCAAAAACAAAAGCAGAATTAATGTAGTGTGGGGTTAAAGTGTCCAGGAGCAGCATTGTCTTTATCACCAGAACGTTCATACTTTTAAAAAGGGCCAACTCAAGACCAACAGTTTTATTTTAGGCTTTTAAATTTAACTTAATGTAATCTTATTTTGTTGTTATAAAGTGCTTTTGATAAGAACAAAGTTTCTCTGTCTATGGATTTGGAGGAAGATGGTGTTGATAATTGTTTGTTTGTGAAGCATTTCGTGTTACCTTTTGTGTATGAAAAAAGCTCAATCAATACAGTTTGATTGATTGATCGATCATGAAGCTGCTGCTCTCACCTGAAGTTCTGGATGTCCACGAACTCGTTCTCCTTCTTGCCCAGGCGGTGCTTGATGAGGTATTCTCTCTGTCCCGCCTGGCTGGAGAACATGGCCTGTCTCATGCTGTTGGTGGTGGGGCTTTCACACCAAGACATGGGCCTGTCGCCGCGATCAAACCCTGACCTGAAACTACTGCAATGGAAAAAGTCATTATGATTTAGCACCAGAAATAAAGACATACTTCACTTGGAGTCAAGTCACATATATAAAATCCAAACAGTTTTTAACAGAAACTATATTTAGCCAGCTCCAGTGTTTGCAGTAAACCTGACACGGTGTAATGAAAGGTCAACTTACTCCGGTCGGGAGTTTTCTCTGGTCTGTAGGGAGACAACTCTGTCTTTAGGGATTGGTGGAGGAGGCAGAGGATTGGATGGAGCCTGGGAGGCTTTGCGAGGAGGTAGAGGGGGAACCGGAGGAGGATCTCTAACAGCAACTATGCGGTTCTGGTGGTTCTTCTTTTCCTCCACTTTGAGAGCGTGGTTGAAGTTGTCCTCGAAGCCAAAGTCTGACGCGAGTGATTGAACTGAATCTTCAGAAACAGGAAATGACAACGGAAGATACCATTTTAGAGCAACCTATAACACCAGTGGCTCAGTCAGTAGGGGCTTGGACTGGGAGCTGTAGGGTCACCGGTTCAAGTCCCCGACCAGACCTAAAATATGGAGTGTGGACTTCTACTTGGAGAGGTCCCAGTCCACCTCCTGGGCCCTGCCGTGGTGCCCTTGAGCAAGGCACCGGACATCCCCCTTCCCCCCTCACTCCCATTGCTCCCCGGGCGCTGTACAATAGCTGCCCACTGCTCCTAGTACTAGACTCCTACTAGGATGGGTTAAAAGCAGAGAACACATGTCACTGTGTGCTCTGCATGTGTGACCATTAAAGAGGGTTTCATCCCTCCCAATTCTAATTCTTCTAACACACTTCAGGAAAGGGAAAACCCCAAAGAGCATAATAGGGCCTCTTTATGGTAGCTTCCAAATACGATTTTTGTTAAGAGATGGATTTTTCTAAAAGTTACCACAGTACATGTGTACATTACCTGTCTTATTAGTTGACCTGCTATTGTTGAGGTTGGGAGGCAGTGCAGTGGTCAATTTGGGGGGGTTGACCCCAGAGCCCACTGAGTTCACCGTCTTGTTTGCTCTCTGCGGTGGGATGGGGACTGGGCTCCTCAGGACTGTTGGTGCAAGGGGCTCCATGGTTTTGGGTTTCTTGAGTATGGATTCAACTGGGAAAAAACAGCTTTGTCAGTATGAAGCCAAACTATGATCAACACAAACGTACTCATCCAGAAGTGGCATCTTTCTAGTGATTATTTTAAGCTGTGTTAAAAATAAACAATGAAATGTGTTACAGCTTGCTCATGAAGGATGGATGTCTTTTTAAACCTCTGACTCAACGTGCACATCCTGTTTCAGCTGACCTCACTGAATGTAAATATGACCGCACAGATATAAAAAAAATAAGCCAACACCCATAAGAGCAATGTTGTCAAGTAGAGTACACCAGCAGCTCCAACTGGCTTGTTGCCAAAAAGAGTAAAGAGGCCAATGTTCCACTGTAATATCACTGATTACTAGGACATTACAGTTATCAACTAAAGAATGAATGAGTGCTATCACATTAGTAAGAGAGGAACAGGATGAACAGGTTCTGAGTACAGAAATACTTAACAGCTCACTGACCCGTGTCCATACCGGAACAAAAGGCATTATTTCTCGAGGGTACAGCTTAGTGTGGTAGCAACTTGAACTAGCATCTTATTAAAAACACTTAACATTCACATCAGAAATGCAATTAGGCAAAACCCATGTTATGACAATCACAGGTACCTCTGTATTGAGTATTATAAACCTTAACAACGTCATGATATTTTAAGATTTTAGAAATAGTTACCACAGTTTGCAGTTGAGGAGTATGAGTAACACGGCTACAATATGAATGTAAGAAGGAAAGCACATCGACGTAAGCCTGGGGCTTCTTTAAAGGGGGATCTGATTTCAAAGAGACTCTCCACAACCGTGTGGACGGCAAGTACACACAGGAAATCAGTGAGCGCTGTAATCCACCCTCAGAGAATGAATGTTAGATGAGTGATTTAATAATTAATCACCCAACAGCCTTAGACTACAGACAGTGACGTCTTACCTTGTTGCTGAGCACTCTTCACCTGGATGAGGAAGGTCTGAGTCCGATCATCGTTCTGCAGCTCTAACAGCAGCTCTGGAGCTTTCTCGCCTTTGATTCGTATCCTAATGCAAGCTGGAGAGGAGTACAGAGAACACACACACACTCACTCACACACATGTTGGATACCTTTAGGTTTTGCATACACATCCAAATGCCTACTGTCTAGAAAACAAAGCATAGTGATTTAAATTGAACCAACACGGCATTCTTTCAAATAGCCCTGGTAACCCATGACAAGCGTCTGCTACTAAATACAGAGCATTTGGCTGAAAACATGCTCTAAAAATACGGGTGTGTTGCAACAAATGCCATGTTTAGCTCTCTTTTGTTTCCACAATTAAGGCCATATTATCTGCAGAAAGAGTCAACAGTTAAATGTGAAGATAGGTAAGTCATACTTACATGTTTCTAAGTTAATAAGAAGAGCCTCTGCAGCCTCTGAAAAGAAAGCGGCAAGATCATTTAAACGGTGCAGTTCAAAGGTTGGTTGTGGGAGTAAACCAGAGTGGTTATAAATTATTTCAAACTCAAGTTGTCATCGTCGTCTTCCAGGTCGACCGTAAATGCTCTTTGGACTTTCACACTACACTAGTTATCAGCAAAACATTTATTGTAGTAGTAGTAGTAGTAGTAGTAGTAGTAGTAGTAGTAGTAGTAGTAGTAGTAGTAGTAGTAGTAGTAGTTAAGGTGAGGATAATCTCTATAAACATGAAGAAAAGATGGTGGCAAATGACATTTGATTATACTTTACAGACCTTAAAGTATTGTGAACTTGATATTAGGGGGGAAGAAAAGTCACATACCTTGCAAAATGTCAAAGTGACCATTGATGGGTATAGACAGCTCAGCGACTGGACGAGACACGACAGCATCAGGGTTGGCGAAAACACGAAATCTACGTGAGAACAGCATAGACTTAACATCAAGTCTGAGACAATGTTATTAATAATCTACAATTCAATTAAAACATCTACATCACAAAGCATATACAGACTGTCTGCAGCTTTTTCTTTTATTATTCTTATATTTTATAACAGCCAGTTTCTTGCAATTAGAATTGTGTTTCATGCACTGAACATTTATGACATGAGTAAATGTAGTAAGGATTAGATTGTAATCATCCATTGATTAAAACGTGAATTCTATACTTACACAAATCTGAAACGCACATGCACGCATGCAAAGCCTCCTTTAGTCTAGCAAGCAGTCAAGGTGCTTTAGTTGAATATGCAAACAATAACTATCAAGCGTTTTGCTTCAGTCAAGTCTTTCTGATAAAAGTCCAGTGTAGCAACCTAGCACATATTCTGAGGAGCTACACTTTGGGTAGTTAAATAATTAATATGAACATCTTTAAATCTGGGGTGTGGGTGTTATTGTGGGCGAGGTCATATTTCACTCTCTAACAATGGCTGACTAAAAGCCAGGGTCAGAGCTGCTCGCTGGTCGCTGCCCACGCTTCCTCTTAGCTTCACAATAACTCTGATTACTGTAGAAGACGGGAAAATGATTCAGCCCTTCTGCTGTGTCAGAGTGCAGATCTCCAGAGTCTGATGTCGAAAGCGTCATGACAATCAACAACTGACCAATGAGGGTGTTAACTAAATAATAAGAAAAAGAACACTGTGTGACACTGTTAGCCGCATTAAATACTTGTTTTATAAATGTAATATAGCTGCAAAAAGTCTATTAAAATATGAATTGTGGCAAACATAAGTCTTGAAATTATATCATTAATTGTAACGCAGGGAGAACTACTCTAACCTTAATGAGATATTGCATTAACAATATATATATGTGCCATAAAAATAAACACAATTTCTTCAGACACTTCAACTTGCAGGGTTGTTGTATTTGATAGAAGAATATAATATAATTGGGAGGGATAAAACCCTCTTTAATGGTCACACATGCAGAGCACACAGCACACAGTGAAATGTGGCCTCTGCATTTAACCCATCCTAGTACCAGGAGTCTAGTACTAGGAGCAGTGATGTGCTTATTCTGGGTTTTTTTGCCGACAGGCTTATGGGCCGGCTATATGTTATATAATATCCGTAAAGCACCAACTGAAACCCTGACAGCTTGGAGTCTCCATGACTCTTGAGTTTGGTGTGTGTGGTTTAGCTAAGGACAGAGCACATGTGAGTCTCATTACACTCCAGGACTAACTGAGGAATTCTGGATAACGGTTGAGCTGACTGCTGGTAGGGGTAATTGCTTTCTCCTTCATGCTAGTTGCCGCCACGCATTAAAGCGTGCTGCAAACACAAACACTGATAGTTTATCAGACCCACAACATCCTCTTTTCAAATCAAAAGCTGAAGCTGCCATGACAAATTCAAATCCTGTAAGTAAACAGCACCAAGGACTGTCCGTAAGCTTAGTCTATGAAGAGTGATGCATGCAGCAACACATTTCTTATCACTGGAGATACTGAACCTTGTTTCCACTATAACATAGAACATTTGTTATCGGTCCTCAGGTTCTGTCTGACCATGTATAACACAAGATAAACCGACCCTTTTCACCTTAAAAAGCTACATATTCCTGGTGTTTTTTCTGAAAGTACACCTGACCGGAGGGATATAGTCATGCAAACCGTCTCTCACAATATAATTATTTTGTAATGCCTATCTATCTAATCTATTCATTTGATTAGACAAGACAACCAACACTTATACACAATGCCCATAAGACAAACACTGAGTATTTACATTCAAACAACGAAAATAAGTTGTCAAAAAAAGTGTGATTTGACAAGAATAAAGCAAAACCTATAAGGGAAGCCGATGCTGCAGATACACATCTAAAATATCAAGCTGTTCAGGAATGCTTTAAATCCTTAAATATCTTACTCAATGTATCTACTGCCTGACAAAAATACTAAGATTGTCAGCCATCAGGTTCTCTGGTACTTACATAAATTCTCCACTGCGCTCTAATAGAGACAGAAGTCTGGGCTCCTTCTGGCCAGCCCTCAGCTGCTGAGCTTTCACAGTGTGAGCATCACAATCAAGGAATCATCATTACTGAGGGGGGAAAAGGCGCCTGGACATCACAAGCACTGAGATTTTATTTTAACTAACCGCAGACAGACAGAGAGAGCAAAGGTGTCATTTCAGGATTATTAGTTAGTTTGCGTGTGGTTAGATTAAGGATAATCAGAGTTAATGAAGCCATGCTGGTTGAACATTAAAAGGCAAATGAATGTGATACATGTCAATTCATAAGGCACAGAAGAAAAGAGCGGCAAAGGTGTTTAGCTGATGAACCTTTAAAAAAGACAAATAACGTTATTCTGCTTAAAACATGAGGATTTAGTTAATTCAACAAGATGAGACTGGTCACATTGGTGTGGTTAGTAGTGACCTGATTAAAAAATAAACTGTATCTATAAAATAACCATGTGAATACACTCATATGAGCAAACTAGCTACTACAATACAGCAGAGGAGGAAGAAGTACTCAGGTTTTGTACGTAAGTAAAAGTAGAAATGCAAAATTTAGGAATACTCTGTTACAAGTAAAAGTCCTGTATCCAAATGTTACTCAAATTAAAGTACAAAAGTATTTGCATCAAAATATACTTTAAGTCCTAAAAGTACTCTTCTTTATGCAGGTTGGCTCATTTCACAATCATATATAGTGTATGTTTTGGTTATAAGTATTGATGCATTCATGTGCTTTTCATAGCTGGCCATGGTAGAACTACTAATTGTGAATGTAATCCAGGTGTGTCTAAAGTTGTTTATGAATAATCTATATCTGCAGTAACTAAAGGTACTACATAAATGAATTGGAGTACAATATTTACCTCCTGAATATTTGTGGGGTAGAAGTCTAAATTAGTAAAACATTTAAGTGAAGTACCTTAACAATTGTATTTAGGTACATTACTTGAGTACATGTACTTAGTTACTTGACACCACTGCATATATGTGGTTGGAAGTGAACTGATACAAAAATAAACTGCATTTATAAAATAACCATGTGAATACACTCACACGAGTAACCTAGCTCGTACACTACAGAACGTGTCTGGTTATCAAATACAAGTTAGCTGCATTGCTAACTGACGTTAGAGCTAATGTTAGCCAACAAGCTAACGGTAAAGCAAATTGACAACATGCACTGAAAACAAGGCTGTAAAATAACTCAAAAAGGATATTGCCAAACAATCCTCGGTGCATATTCCCAGAGAGGACTCCATCCTTACCGATATATGACAAATGGCCATTTATCATGGGTTAGTGTTCTTTGAGTCCAGACACGGAGAGAGAAAGTTAAATTCCCACCCGGTGCGGCGGCCTTCCGGGATGATAGCTGTTCGGTGGTGGGGTGCTAATGCTAACCGATGTTAGCCAGCGGTGGTTGTTGTCGCTGGACGTGGGTAGATGTTCAACAGAGTCAATACATCAGAGTATCCCGGTTAGTGTGCACCATTCTTACAAAAACAGCTGAGTATCCGTTTTCCTTTCTGTGTCAGAGAACAGGCTGGCAGCACGACATGTCTTGTAAGTTGAGGCTGATGGAAGCTAGCTAGTTACCGAGAGTTTGGGAGGTTCACTCCATGGTTCACTCCCCTTCTTCTCCTGCCCTCTCTCTGCTCAGTTATTCGGCTTCATCATCTGGATTTCTGGCGGCGGGTGGCAACAAGTATGAGCTAAATAACGCCACCTTCTGCCCTGGAGTGTGGGTAGGAAACTAAATGCAGCTATCAGCCTAATTGCACATGAAGAAAATCATGTGCAATTTCGTAAATTCATAAGAATATCAAATTTACGCTTAATCGGTGGGAGTGTCTTTTGGGGAGTGTGGGAGTATGCCAGTGGTATCAATCAATCAATCAATTGAGGCAGCCTAATTTGGCTTCTGGCTTTTTTTGTTGCATTTTTGCTCTCCTACATTCATTTGACAGCTATACTTGAGGTGTTAGATACAACATGTATGGTAATTTTTTTGAATGTGATGCAGTATCAGGCTACTAAGCTAAATGCAGTACATTATACTTAAATTAGCTTAGTTTTCTTCTTTTTTTGCCACACCTTACCAGCTACAACATAACAAAAACTCCTAATAAAAAAAAGAAGGATTCATAATAAATGAACACATTTAAAAAGTGTCATTTTTCATGATGAATATTTTTTACTTTTCACGCCCAAAACATTTTTGCTGAAAAATATTAAACAATATTTTTGAATTCAGGGCTTTAACCTTTTTATTAGTAGGCATTGTAGTATTTTTAAAGAATGGTTTGTAACTTTTACTCAAATAAAGCATCTACATTTGTGCAAGGACTTTCTAGGAAACATCACTTAAAATATACCTAATTGCTCACCCTACTAAAACAACTATTATTATTTACAATGTTGATTGTACACTATATACTGGTTTGACATTTTATGTGACATCTTAAAACCAAAACAAATATGCAGAAAACTTCCCGAGGCATATTCATTTGTCCCATTTGTTACATTTCATAAAGAAATACCTTCATGAACAAATCTTCTACTGTTAATCTTCATAACCAATTCATGTAACACATTGTATTTAACTTTTTATTGTTAATAGTCACTTTGACAAAAATGACAAAACATGGATAAAAAAGTTTCATTATTTTGAAAGTCAATTTCAGTCCAAAACTTTAATGTAATCAGAAGGATTATTTAGCAATAGTTTCAACTGTACATGTGACTTCTCTCAGTTGTTGTAGGTTTTAATCTTATGAATGGCATAAGGGCTGGAGTCTCGATGTGGCCAAATGTCTCCGTTGGGCAGATCCCTCGTCTGTTCCACCTCACGTTCAACCATCTCGACCGTCAAAGTGGAAGGACTGAGGATTTCTGTAGTGCGGTAGGATTGTGTCAGGCAACGGAAGGACGCCGTGTCTGAGATGTCATCGTCAAAGAGATCCTGCATGAGTTCCTTTCGTTTCCTGCGAGAAGCTTTCAGCTCCTCCTTCAGGTCAGAAACCAGATCTTTAACATCCCTCACCAGTGTGGAGCGTACACCAAACAGGCAGAGCAGGAAAACCAGACCAGCACAGATGCCAACCACAAAGTACAGAGCCACTCGCTCTGGGAAATCTGAGGGAGAATGAGAAGCGTGATGATTGTGAATCACACTAAAATCTAAATGTGGCATGAGACACTGAAAATACACAGATATCCATCCTGCTAAACATCCTGACCATACATATTTACATTGTTGTGTACAACAGTAAGCTTGTGTGCAAATAGAGATATTTAAGATGTCAGAGTTGGCTCTGGATAATAAGAGAATAAAAAAAAGCTTATCATGCTTTAAACTGTATAACCTTTCAATGATGACGTAAAAAAAGACTTTAACAGCTTTCATGCATGTGCCGCTTGATTTTAATTTACTGTAATCAACTGAAAGGGAGCATAAGGCTGACTGATGTAAGGATCAACACAAACATCTACGGCATCTTTTAGAACATAGTAAGCAGTCATCTGAATATTTTTGCACATTCTGTATTACTGCATAGAAAAATTGAGGAGGGCTCTACAATGCAGAGAAGAAGAAAGATATAGGCTTATACACTTCTAATTATTTCCTTTGCTTTGTGTCACTGTGTCAATTTTGTAGGACTAAAACATGCAATCCAACCTTACAGGCCTTTTTATAGTATGATCTACATGTACATACATGCAACCCTATAGCCTGAGGTCTACAGGCGTCACTCACTGCACATACCCAACATTTTTTCAATGATCTCCAGAGAGTTGGTTAAGAGCACGTTATGAGGCCTGTAGGTGGGGCCAGTGTACCATCCGCCTGCAGGTGAGAGGAGTCTGGGCTCAGACACCAGTCAAAGTCTGCTGCATGTTACAAAAACCTGTGCATTTGGAGTCTTTCTCTCACCATGTGTGTAGTCTGAGATCATGAAAGGATCAGTTGACCCTCGACTCACATCTTCCAGAAGATACCGGGGCACTAAATAGAACATTTGACATTTTTTAAGGTGAAGCGTACATTTAATAATTTAAACTTTATTTACATTTCAGTTGAGCATCAACATGTATTAACAATAACATTGAGTGAATTACAAAATAATATGAAAGGAAAACAAAAAAACAACTCATAGCTATACTTAGAGAGAAAATGGGAAACTATTATATATATATAAAAAAAAAAGAATCAATTAGAGAATTTAATTTGATAGACAGATTAGGATAACTAAGATGTTATATAATAGACAGTTGTGTTAAAAGCCCTAGAATAGTGCAATAAGAGAAGTCAATTTGATAGACGCATTTCACATTAAAATGTACAATAAAATACAGTTGTATAGAACGTGTAGGAGTTTGAATGTTTTTGAGGTAACATTTCTGAAATGTCCCTAAGATATAAATAAATGTATTTTAAGGAGGTGCTGTATGCAGTAACATCTAGTTTGTAACGTACCACAAGTGAAGGACACCCGCAGGTGTTTCCTGGTGCCGGGGAAACACGGGTCCCCAAAGGTTTGGGTGTCGGCCACAAGTGAGCAGCTCGCTCTGCTGTGACACCGTCGTGACACCTTCCTCAGAGCCGTGGAGGACAGACACTCTGAAATAAATAAAGGTTAGTGTGATAAATAATGGTTTTATTCTTAGAAATCTGATTATTATTAACATTATTAACTGGTATAAAATCTAAGCTCGGTTGTATGCTAACAAATGAACCTTCTTTGTTTCATGTTAAGTAAAAGAAAAAGAAGAATTTTAAGCAAATTGTGCTGTCAGACTTATTTGGACAACCTGTTTTTATTACTTTGAATATACATTTGTAACAGTAGTAGTTTGTCATACAAATGGTTTCTAAATTTGCCATCTCCAGGAATCATCTCGTTTAATGTTTAAGACTATTGTATTTATGTACACATCATCCTTGATATAACTCAACTAAACCAAACTAAAATAATAGGACCCCACTAATTACTCCCCACTTGTGCCTAGAACTGATATTTGTTCCACTATATTTTCACTAGCAGAGAAGGAGCAGGTTTCAGACCCATGTCATTGTGTGATCCAGGTTCCTGAGGACAGTGAGGACTGCCGTGCAGCAGGTGTCCGAACGAGGCTGAGTAGATGGCGAGGACGGTGTCGTTTTTACAAGTCAGCCTCAGACGCTCATTCTCACACACCAGCCTGCTGCGGTGGTGCTCTGAAGAACAGATAACATATAAACACCATTAAAGGAAGGAGTATTTCCATGCAAATTTAGTAAGTAGACTTGGCATGTTTTAGCTCATGAATGACATATTTTGTGGGAAGGCTCCCTGTCGCAATATACCGATAAAGATCGTAATTCAATTTTATAAAACCGAGATAATAATATTATGTTAACTATCAAAATATGATAATATAGTGTAGATAATCCAGTACCTCTTAAATCAAAAATCAAATCCTACATTTCCATTTCCAAATACAGAATTTCCTTAGACCCCTTTTTTTTTAGGTATGCTTTGCTTTTTGGTCGTAATAGGTTTTTCCACAGCAGTATATGCTTAATAAATTATATCAGTTTTTACAAACAGGGGAATGCTGCCCGCCATCTACAGTAAATAGTACACTGACTATGGATAAGTAGCCTATTCAACCCCACTTCACAACATTCAAACTATCTCTGTAATACGATAAAGCCTAGATTGTGCATGATAATCTTGAACATGCCAAACAAACAATTCTGCTATTGCTTCATATATTGTTTTTAGCAACTAAACTGAATGAATTGTTGGCACACTGACACTACTGTTTTAGTCAATGATTCTCCACATTACAAATATAGGACCATGGCAACATACCTGGTCTGCACTTGTAGGAGACTAGAAGGTACTTGCTGGTGAGAGGACAGGGGTCCTGCCCAAACACTGGACTGAAGACAGGGATGTGACAGGACCGACGATCCTGACACTCTGACAGCACTTTCTGCAAGGACAGGGAAACTTGTTGACTACAGTACTCCAAATCTCCAGAGCATTTTATTTAAACATAGTCTGATTTCACATTCGGGATACCTCGGTAGCGACTGGGGAAGTGCATTCGTTATCCTCCTCTGCAGTTGTGTTTGTGTTTGCAGAGGGACACAAATGCAGATTAGGAACACGTCGTCCATAGAAAGCCGAGAGGACGGCCACAGACGTCCTGGAGGGACACTTGATGATGAGTGTGTCTCCTTCACAAGCATGAGCCGTGTGGTTCTTCAAGATGTTGTGAAGGTAGACTACAATAAAAGCAGTTGGTTAGCATACAACTCCTGAAAATCTACATTATTTTTGTCCTGACACTGAGGCTATTATCTTGAACACGTGTTTTTTATCTGTCCTGGTCTACCGTGAAAAGCACATCCTGAGCGCTCTACTGATATAGCACTGACAGAGAACATCTTCGCACGTATGGCAGTAAAGGAGATTATTGATCAAAATAAGTGGTCATATAATTTTTTTTTATTTACAACAGTTTTAGCTCAAAATGTTAGATGTTATTTTCAAGACTCAGTCCTTTGTAAATACAGTGGGACCTGCTTTTTCTCATTGTGAGACATTTTTGATTTTCTTCAACATATTTTATATTTGTTTCCAATATTAATCAAAGAAGGACATTGACTCACTCAACCCTTGTATGGTGTTTGGGTCTGTGGGACCCGTTTTCATTATTT